CCGAACAGCTGACCCCGGTCTACTCAGATCGTGTTGTAACACTGTGTCTCAGACTTGTGTCAGACGGTTGTAGAGCGAGCTTATGCCTTGCTTCCAATTTGGGAGTGGTAGTTTGTGCGGATCCATTTTCGGATTTCTGCGATTGGTTCTTCATGATGAACCAGATGACTTCGTGCCTTCCATGTAGTGCGGGGCCTCGTATTTCACCCTTTTTCTCTCTGCTTGGTCAGAGCACAGGCTGCTGGCTGCCAATCCGGCTTGAGTCGCGGTTGCTCCCCTTCTTCATCTGTTTTGGGGTTGATTTCCCAACTGTGAACAACTTAAGGGGAGTGAGGCTGGTTTGCTTTTGGGTTCCCGGGCTCCTCTTGTTTGAAATTGTGTTTGGGCGCCGTGAAGGGAACTCCCACAGCGCTGGTGGCAACCAAGCTTGTCGTGTAGGAAACATGTCCAGACTTTTCATGCTTGCTTGTTTCTGCGTGAGTCGTGGTTCTCTTGTCACGATGCAGCACTTTCCAAGCAGGAAGTGCTGCTTGCGGCGGGCAGGCCTTTAGTACGTAGAAATAACAAATGTCACCTTATAAGAGAGCACCCTCAAGCCCCAAACTTTAGATTGTCCTCTCCCTTTTCTCCTTCTTCCTCTCTCCCTTGTCCTTGTCTCCCTTCGTGTGTTCTGTCGCCCTCTCTCCCTCCCTCTGCTCCCCATCCTCCCCCCAAGCCTCTCTCTCCTCAATCTCCCTTCTCTCTCTGTGTTGCTCTGTCTCTTCTTGTCTCCGTGTCTCCTTCCTGTCCACGCCCCTCTACAGAAAAAGGTACCCTAATTCGAACCTCTCTACTCTCTCACTTTCTCGCTCTTTCTCTCTCTCTCTCTCTGTCTTTCTGTGTCTCTCTTTCTCAGTCTCTCTCTTTCTCTTTCTCTCTCTCTCTCTCTCTCTCTCTGTTTGTCTCTTTCTCTGTTTCTCTGATTCTGGCTCTCTCTCTCCCGCTCTCTCTCTCTCTCTCTCTCTCGTTAAAATCGGTGGTTACTTTGCTTACAAGTGCAAGCGCTGTAGTGTTCAAACAAACAGTCAACCAATGTAGTCTGCAGCTGCCAACCTTTTGACTCATGCGGAGTAGTAAGCTCAAGGCCTGCGGTAGTGAACATACATGCAACAAGAGTGCAAAGTGAAGCATGTAGTTTGACACGGCCCCTCAGTTAAAAGGTCTTTGTAGTACCTTTTCAACTGAAGTGCAAAACATGGATTGACAGTACTGATGAAAACCATTGTTGTTCATCAATTGTACTGTATTGGCAAAAGTAGTGACCTGCGCTCAGTAGTTCACGCTGTTCAGGTTCCAGCTCGACGTAGGGCGCTGGACGGAAGTAGTGAAGGCAGGCACTCGTTGTAGTAGAGCAGGAGCTCAAAAATGTAGTCCCCATTTCTGGGTGCGGTAGGCTTGGACCGATTTTTAGAAGGTGCTGCTTTAGGTCTCCATATCTTTTGTGGTGCTCGTAGTTGGATCTTTGATCTGGTTGGTGGTGTGTCCATTAGCCGTTGTGGTTGTGAGCTCTGCCTTGTTGGTGTGGTCTTTGATGTTGCTCTGCGTGTAGGTGTTATCTTTCTTCTGAATCTGGTTTCTCCAGTCCAGTTGTCACCTTCTAGTCTTCGTTGTAGTTCTTGCTTGGAAAGTTGTGTTGGGTTCTCTTGTAGTTGTTCTTGCTCTTGCCCTTGTCTGTTGATGATGGTTAGTCGCCAATCATCTAGTTCTCCTTCTGGTATTGGGCAGCCACTGTTGTGTGGTGTGAACAGTGCTTTGCGTGGTCGTTTGTGTACTCTGATGGCGTAGTCACCATCAAGTTTCCAGTAGTCAGTGTTTCCACCAAGGATCTGTCGTAGTCCTTGGTCTGTGTGTGTGAGTGGTGCGATTTGTTCTTGTTGTTGTGCTGCTCTCTCTGTAGGTTGAATCACAGCAATGGATTTTCCATTGTCTGTAGTCATTGGGTAGATGTCGAATCCTGTAGGAATGTCGATCTTCTCTGCTCGTAGGTAGAAAAGTCCTGAGTGTCTTATGAGGTGTGCTTGTTGTTGTCCATGTGTGATGGTGCAGTGTCGTGGAGTGAAGTCAAGTCCATATCCTCTATCAAGTAGTCTTGATGCGCTGAGGATTGGATACTTCACATCACAAACGTAGTAGGGTATCATGATCCTGAATTTGTCCTGCTTGTAGGGAACGTACTTGATGCCGTAGACTGGAATCTTCTTGTTGGTCACCGTGTAGAGTTGTGGAACTGATTCTCCACAGGGTCGTAGTGGAAGATCCGGTGCGTAGTCCTTTGGGCAAACATGTGTAGATGCTCCTGAGTCGATCAACAGGTGGTGGTATGACTTGAAGTTGGAGTACATGATGTAGTGGGTGATAGTGTCCTCAATCTTCTTGTTCCTTTGTTGTTGTCTTGCTGCTGCTATGTCGAAGTGTAGCTTTGTGGTGTCTTCTTGTAGGAATTGTTGAAAGCTCTTGCTGTGGTCGTTCCATGATGTTGTGTGTGTTGTTCTCTTGCCAAGTAGTGATTTGGATTTGTGCTTGTGTAGTCGTGATTTTGCTTGTCTGATGTATCCAATGGTGAGGTGTGACTCGTTGATGCCTCCAATGTAGTTCGCTGTGTCCTCATAGCTGTTGTCATTCCAATCCCAGCTGTTGTCATAGTCGTAGTCGTTCCAGTTCTCCTCCATGTAGTTCACCTCATGTTGTCCTTCTTCTCCTTCGTAGTACCAGTCCCAAGTGTCGTTCACATCCTGAGGTAGTTCATCATTGTTGTCGTGATCTGCTTGTTCTTGTTCTAGTGGATGTAGTTCTTCTCCTTCTCCTATGTGCCATACCGGCACTCTGCAGTCTTGTGCCCAGTGGCCGGGCTTGCCACATCGATGGCATGTTGTGTAGTTGTTGCTTCCTTTTCCTTTTGATTTGCTGTAGTTTCCTTGGCCTTTGTAGCCTTTGCTTGATCCATATCCTTTGGATCCTGAGTAGCCTTTTCCTTTGCTCTTGTTGTATCCTCCTTTGTTGTAGTTTCCTTTGCTGCCTTTGTCGAATCCTTTGTAGTGTCCTTTACTCCTGTACTTGCCTTTGCTCTTGCTTCCTTTGTAGCCGCCTTTTCCTTTTCCTTTGCCTTTGTAGCTTCTTCCTTTCCTCCATATGTTGTCAACATCCATTGGTGCAGTTCCTCCATTGTAGTTTGTTCCTACTGCTGAAGTAACTCTAGTGAAGGCTGAAATCGTTTTGTAGTAGTCCAGGATGAGTGCTCTGATCTCGATGTAGTTCGTGATCTGTCCAGCTCGCAGTTGGAGGTGTTGCTGCAGTGCTCCTTTGGTTTTGTTGAGTAGTATTGCTATTTTGATTCCATCTGGTAGTGCTGTTCCATTGTCTTTCTCGTAGCGGTTGATGTCGTATTCCCATTGTAGAAATTGTTCTTCAAACTGCGCTTCGTTGAATGTGGGTTCCAGTAGTTTGGTAAGGTAACCAACGCTCCTTGTTCCTACTGGTAGGCTGAACCTGTTGTGTAGTAGTCGTAGTGTTTCACATCCGTTTGCGTTGTAGCGGTTTTGCCTTACTACTGTAGCTGCTGCTCCCTGACAGATGTTGATGAGGATGTAGTGTAGATCTCTGGAGAGGTCTACTGCTTTGCTTGCTTGTGTAGGGTCGAGTATGTGTGTTCTGATGTCTGTGTCCTCAATCTGTCGTGTAGCCACTTGTGCTAGTTGTAGCACCAGGTCGAAGTCTCGGTCTATGAGGCCGAGGTATGCTTGTAGCTTGAACAGCCATTCTTCATACTGGGAGTAGTCACCAGTGAAGAAGGGTGGTGGCAGTTTGTATCTATGTAGTCTCTGAACGTCGTTGTCTTGTTCTGTTCCTGCTCCCGTAGTCGTGGCTCCTACTGTGTCTGCTGTTGGCCCGTTCTCTGCTCCTGTAGTTTGTTGTGCTGAGGCTGATGCTGCTTCTCCTGACATGTCGTAGTAGTTTGGCATGTAGCTGCTGTTGCTGTGTTGTTGTAGTACTCCCTATGTTTAGGATCTCAGCTCCGCTACCACGTTAAAATCGGTGGTTACTTTGCTTACAAGTGCAAGTGCTGTAGTGTTCAAACAAACAGTCAACCAATGTAGTCTGCAGCTGCCAACCTTTTGACTCATGCGGAGTAGTAAGCTCAAGGCCTGCGGTAGTGAACATACATGCAACAAGAGTGCAAAGTGAAGCATGTAGTTTGACATCTCTGTCTCTCTCTCTCTCTTTCTCTCTCTCTCTCTCTCTCTCTCTCTCTGTCTCTCTCTCTCTCTCTCTTTCTCTGTCTCTCTCTCTCTCTCTCATTGCAGCGTCACGTCCCTTCTGAGTTGCCTCGATGTCCAGGGCACTGCCCCTTCATGACCCTGAACTGTCATCTGACCACTGGCTTTGCTTGGTGTCCTTTTCACGTTTCCCATGATGTCCGGGTCATGTCCCTTCCATGCCTTTCAACTCCCCCGTCATGTCCCTGACATTTTCTCGGTAAGTCCGCTTCATTTTCCATGTATGTCCCGTTCGTTCGTTGCGAGTCATTTCCCTACATCTCCCGTCGTGCCGATTGGCTTTCTTGTGCTTTGTTTCCCTTTCATTCCCCCTGCACTCCTCTTGTTTTCATTTCTGTCCCTTTCAGTTCCCTTTGTTTCCCTTTCATTTCCCGCTGCTTTCCTGTCATGTCGACTTCCTGTCTCCTCCCCTCATTTCCTTGCACTTTCCAGCGTTTTCGCAATTAGGATGTCCAGATTAGCAAAGAGCCGGCAGGGGGAATCGAGCCTGGGACCCCTGTTTTGCGAAGTCATCAAATTGCCGCGCGGTCCGTGGGGGTTGGACACCAAGCAATGTCGGCGGATATCTACCAACCAGGCCCTTATGAAGCCAATCCTTTCGAAAACTAGATTGTGCTGAATTGATATAAGACTGTTCTTTACCAGCTCAGAAGTAGATCCATGGACATTGGTTGCTTTGCCAGCCAGGCCGCGATCTTCTCCCGGTGCCAGGCGCTGACGCAGGCTATGCGGCCAGGCCTGACGCGCGGAACTCTCAGCCAATTTTGGGCAGACATTCTGGGCGAAACATTGGGCTAAGTAAGTTGGACTTCAAGAGGGCGCGGAGCAATGTGCTTCTCACAAATTGGGCAAGGGGAGGGGGGCGCTGAGGGGGCGGGGTGAAATAAGTTGCGGCGACTTATTTCACTTATGGAGGACACCTCCACCTTTCAGGGCAAGGTGCTTGCGTCAGCTTGATACCGCGGACTGATCCGCCTCTGCAGTCAAGCTGCGTCTCCCCCTCTTGATCCTAACCAACCTAACCAACTGGGCCGAAAGGTTTGCCACAAACATATGGTGCTGTTTCAAGACAGGGCGCCGAATGGTTTGGGTCTGGTTGAGGTGAGGAAAACCACTTGCCCCCGAAGAAGTCTTTGGCATCGTGTGACACTGTTAGCCAGGCACCGAGCTGCAGCAGGAGCTAGCGCTGCAGCGGGAGCGCCTGGAGGGCTTCCGCCGCCACAGCGGCGCCGTGCGCGCCGGGCGCTCGCAACCGGATCCAAGGAAGGTCGGAAGGACATCAGAACGCCAAAGAGACGAGTTGCCGGTGCCCCTTGACCTGGCAGAAACTGGGAGTTGGAAATACAGGCGGGAGTCAGATGCCGGAGTGATGGAAACTGCCAGGGCAGGAGTTGGAAACTGTCCTGCCCGGAGTTGGGAACAAGATCGGCGGGAGTTGCAAACTCCCGCCGCTCAATGTGGAAACCGGTGGGTTTGTTTGGGGCTAGCCTTGGTTGTGGTTTTTTAGAGTTGGTTTAGTGCTTTAGGATTGGTTCATTGGTTCATGGCTGGTTAAGCGGTTTAGGGGTTTGGGATTGGTTTAGGGCGGTTGAGGTTTGGTTTAGGGTTGGTTTACGGCTGGTTTGGTTTATGTTTTGTTTTGCGTTGGTTTACGGTTGGTTTATGGTCTAGGGCTGGTTTCGGATTGGCTTAGGGCTGGTTTTGGATTGGTCTAGGGTTGGTTTAGGGTTGGGAGTTTACGGCAGGTTTAGGGTTGGTTTTGGTGGAAAGGTTGTGGTTATGGTTCTGGGTTGGTGTGTTCGCTTAGGGCTGGTTTCGGGCTGGTCTAGGTTGGTTTACGGTTAGGCGCGATACTAGCGCTACCAGCGTGACCGACCGCCATGGGAGCAGTTGCTGGAGCGGAAGTCGAAGTGTAACCAGAGTGGGGCAAGCAGGACGGGTACTGACGCTAGCAACAGTAGTAGTCTAGCCACTTTAGCGCGGTTTTGGTTTGGTTTTGGTTTAGGGTTGTTTCGGGTTGGTTTACGGTTTGTTTTGGGCTGGCTTGAAATTGGTTTAGGGCTGGTCTAGGGTGGTTTAGGGTTGCTTTAATGCAGGTTTAGAGCTGACTCAGGATTGGTTTAGGGTTGGTTTACGGTTGGTTTAGGGTTGGTTCAGCGCGGTTTAGGTTTGTTTTAGGGCTGGCGTTTAGGGATGGTTTTGGGTTGGTTTAGGGTGGTTTTGGTTTGGAGCTGGTTTAGGGTTGGTTTAAGGCTGGTCTAGGCTTTGTTTGGGGTTATGGTTTATGGTTGGTTTGTGGTTGTTTCGGGCTGAGGTTTATGGTTGAGGGGCGGGCACCACGGGACCGTGGTGGTGTGCCCGTGGTGCCCGTTGCCCGTGCCGTGGTGGCCGTGGGCCTGTGGTCCCATCATGCACTGGCCTGTGTGGTTGTGTTCCCCACGGTGCTCTCCATAGTACTCCTCACGCTGCTTCCGTTGTGTGCCCCAGGGCGCTAGCGCTCTCCAGAGTGGTAGTTTACAGCTTGCTTGTGATCGGGTTCCAACTCTCGTCAGAGCGGCGTCCAACTGTCGTCCGGGCAGTTTTCCAGCTGGCGCCATAGGCAGTTTCCAACTCGCTCCAACTCCCAGTTTCCAACTCCCCTTAACCGGTTTAGCCCTCCGGGGTCCTCTGCGCGTTGCAAGGTCTTCTACTCCATGACCTTCGGCAACCTCTGCGACATCGACGCCTCCAGGCAATTTTTGAAGAGACCTGCAAAGACGTGAAAACCTTAAAAAGTGCGGAACGCCGTTTTGAAAGCGGCAGCCATCCGAGATAACGGCAGGTCCAGCTGGGCAATCTTTGACCGAGCGCTGCAGGACGCGAATCCACCGAGACGGAGTTTGGGCATGAAGATTCCAGCCGCACAAAAGTTGGCTTTACTTCGCTTTTGTTTCAATCGGTAAGGGAAGCTGTCACGACTGGCAACGATTTTCCTGAAGCAGGTTGACCCTTCTTGCACTCTTTTGCAAGGTGGCGCCACATTTCAACGGGATCCAAAAAAGTCCTTTCAAAGATTCCAATCTTAGCCCAGCAACATGACAGTACGCAGCCAGCTTCCGGCAATCCGTTGGAGCGCAGTCTGCTGGTATCCACTGCTTCTGTATCGCATGGCAACGCCAAAGATCACGCAGAGCCGCAGAGCTGCAGAAATCCAAATAGAGGCAAGGCCTTTCTTGCAAAATTGAACGTCGCGTGCTGCAACCGCCTTGTTTTTGCAGAGTGGCAGCAACACAAGGGACGCGTTCCTGGCAGGAAAAGAGTTGGAGAGGTGTATGCCCATTTTCAAAGCGAACGAAGTGATTTCGGCAACGTTGACAGCTTCGGGGTCTTTGGAAGTTTGGGCCGGCCCTGCAAGTATCTCAACATGTCCAAGGGCCAACAAGTTCTCCGCGACATGAACTCCTACAACTCACTCACCGTCGCATCTTGATCCGGTGACCAAAGAGATGGGGGAAAGAGGTGGGCAGGGCCACACGAGCAGACAGCCATGCGCGTGGCCACGGCACAGCTGGCGCGCGGTACCCAAGTGCTGAACAAGTGCGAATCAAAGAGTATGTGGCATCAAACTAGTCCTTCCTGAAAGCGTGCGGGGTAAATTAACTCTTTTTATGATGGCTACGCTTTCAGCCCTATGCATTTTGACATGTGTGCGTGAGTTTGTTTGTTTTTGTTTCATGAAGCCCGGAGTAAGCGCTGTAGCTCATAATCTGGCTAGGGTGTGCCTTGGGATTGTCGTTTCCGTTGTTTGCTTGGCCCATTTCGCGGGCTTCCAAATTTTTCACATGATTGATGTCTGCGCATGTCTTTGAACGTGGCTGTGTCATGTTCAGGAGACCCAGGCAAGCTGCCGCCGGCGCTCGGAGTACTACCGCCGCACTGCGCAAGGCCTGGACCCCACTTCGATGGACCCGGGCCCTGAAGTTATTGGACAAGCCATTGGACTCTTGAGACTTCGCGTCCACGCGTTGAGTTGTGACAGATGGTGTCTCGCGTGTTCCCGTCGCATCCTGAAGCCATCTCGTAATGTGTTGCGCGCTCTGCAACATTCCTTTGTGCAATCTGCCCCATCAGGCGCAACCCTTCCCATTTCTGAGTGCAGTTTCTATATGCCACTCAGAGCCCCAAACTGCAACGCGCAGGACATGCTACGAGAACTGAGATCGAAAGTTTCGGGCGTAGGCGGCATAGGGTTCCGAGATCCGTTTCTATTTCCGAAAGATCTCCCAAGGCCTGGCGGCGAAAGTGGCCGGTATGGCCTTCCCGGCGACGCGATTGAAGCGTGCCTCCGCCTGGACTGGGGTCGAGTTTTGCTTTGCTTCTTTTAAGAGCATCATCAACTCAAGCTGGGCTACGAAGCTAGATGCAAATCACAACAACATCTGCCCGGACTCACACAAACAATCGGAGTTGCTGGTCCGTGCCTTGAGTCAACAGCTTTCGTCGATGTGTCTCTACCCCTATTCTTCTGCGCAGGTGCAGGACTTACGCCTGGTAGTCTGGGGTCAAGTCGGGCTCTGCGCCGACTGCCATTGTCTGCAGGAAGCAATACTGCCCGGTCACCTTGGCCTTGGCCAACGAGCTCATGCCATGCTACGATCCCAACTTTGCAGTGGAGCACAAGTCCAAGGCCGGGGAACCGATGGAAACCCAAGCGGTGCTGATGTCACAATGTCATGATGTAGTTGCGGAAAGACATTCCTCAGTAGTTATTGACTTGATGTTCCAGGCCATTTTGGTATGAGCTGGCTCAGGTCTACTGGACGGCATCTGCGGAGTACGCGGAGCTCTTCGCACAAGACCCTGAGGCTCCAGATGCTCACTCAAACACCTCTAGTAGCGGTATGACGCAGGAAAGTAACAATGGCGATGAGCTCAACAAGTACGCCAGTGAACTTGTTGGAGGGGGCTCTGGCGCACACACACACACAAGGCACTCCATTCCACAAAATTGGTTCAGTCGGATTGCGCTTGTCACTTTTTTTTTTAATGAAAACGGCGGGCCTTTCCGAGTGATTGCAGAGGCGTGTGAACGCAGGTGTAATTGAGGGATGGTTCTTTTAAGATGCCCCATTGAGAGAATAATAAGGTCTGGCCAACATGGGTCACGAGGTGGCAGTCTAGCGACATTCCGCTTCAAAAGTTTTCTGCGAGGCCAATTCTCAACATCCAAGCACTCGAGACACCTCCTTTGCATACTTGTACCGACCTAGATGCAACCAAACATTGGCTGATATTTGGGGTTTGCAATATGTCCCCTTGGTGCTGAATTCAGACCAGTGACGCAGAATCTTGTAGTATCTTGAATTGTGATTAGCCCTCGCCCAGTCTGTTGTTGGATCAGTTTGTTTCACATCGAGCACGTTTCGTTTTTAGGATCTTGTTTCTGATTAGAGGTTTCCTTTGTTTCATGTCAGCTATGGTTTGCACCTCCGCGGCCCTTGCAGGCCGAAATGTGACGCCTGGAATATGTTCTGCTTCCATCATTGGGGGGCTTACGAGAATTTATCCCACTCGATTTACATCCTAATTCAACCGAAGCCCGGCTGGCGTCTTGGACGCGCTCTCTGGGAGGCCTTCCTCCAGGTTCCGCTGCCCAAGACCCTCCCCAAGTTGCTGGATGATGGCGAACGGACCAAGAAGGCGGTGAATGTCATGACCAAGTCAAGGTAGTTGATGCGGCTTTCTTGGTTCCAATTGATGAAGCCTTGAAGTGTTTAACATTGACTTTTTCCCCAGATAGCTGAAAGCTATAGGGGTTCTAACTTCCAATAAAGATTGGAAAGTGATTTGCGAGATTGAGGGCCGGGTGCTAGGGGGCATGCAGTTTGGGGTGCTGGTGGATGCTGCTTTCCAAGCTTGACGGCCGGGTGTTAGGGGGCATGCAGTTTGGGGGTGCTGGTGGATGCTGCTTTGCGAGCTTGACGGCCGAGTGCTACGGGGCATGCAGTTTGGGGTGCTGGTGGATGCTGCTTTGCGAGCTTGACGGCCGGGTGCTAAGGGGCATGCAGTTTGGGGTGCTGGTGGATGCGGTTTGGGGTGCTGGTGGATGCTGCGTTGCGAGCTTGACGGCCGGGTGCTTGGGGGCATGCAGTGTGGGGTGCCGGTGGATGCTATTTTGCGAGCTTGACGGCCGGGTGCTAGGGGGCATGCAGTTTGGGGTGCTGGTGGAGGGGCACGCAGTTTGGGGTGCTGGTGGATGCTGTTCGCGCGTAACGGTTCGTGGCTCCAACCACGTCATGATGCAAGTGGGGTCACTGCGATGTTGCGTTATGGTTTGTGGTTGTAGTGGCGCCGTGATGCTGTCAACATCAGGATGATGCTGATACGCTGTCGCAAGATGGTTCGTGGCTGTATCATCATGATGCTGCCTTTACCATCAGCATGATGCCGTTTGCATCGCCATGATGCTGTCCGCATCATCATGATGCTGTCCGCATCATCATGATGCCGTCGAACTCATCAGAACAATACCAGCATGATGCTCTCAACATCATCATTATGCTGCTGAACTCATTCGGACGTTGTATGCGCGTTTGTAGCGCACCATGCTCAGTGGCTGTGGTATCATCATCATGACAATGCTGCGTCATGGTTCGTAGCCGTGGTGTGCTATCTGGGGTCTATGCTGGTGTATTGTTTGTTTTTTCTAAAGCGCGATGCTTGCACGCTTGGACTCTGATGACATGGGGCCAAGTACTGTTGCTTTGTCTTGATTCACTTCCTGTTTAGTCTGGAAAATTTACTGCAAGTGGACTTTGGCTGTTTCGAGTTGCGCGCCAGCCGGTTGAAATTTCCTTGATGCTGCTGCGGCAATCCGTCTCTGGGCGCGCAAAACCGAGGCAGATGAAGGTGGGGGCAACAACTGACGGTCCGTCAGTCAACCTCTTTCGCGGAAACATTCATGATGAGAGCGGCAGGCAGGATCTGAGCATGGAGATGTACGTCAGAGACTGCCTGGCGGGTGCTACGCCCCGCAAGGCCACAGGCCACACCCGCAGCAACAGCGCATTGTACGACGGTCTCCTGTGTCACTCCGCCGACTGGACCACCAATCATCATCTTCACGAGGCATGGGGCGGACTGCCAGGCCAACTGCGGGCAAGACGGAGGCTGTGATGGAGGACTCCGTGTTTGCCGCCCATAGCACAGCAGCAGCCGAAACAGGTCCCAGAGCACAATTTCTCCCGCATTTCCACAAGCTCAAGATGCAGATCTGCGCGCGCCGGGAGCAGGCGAGGACCAACAGCCAGCTCTTTTTGGGCAAGCGGAAACGGGCGGCGGGCTTCCAGTGTTGCAGATGCGCTAGCGGGGCTTGGGTGAAGGCGCCCGGAACAAGCTGAACGCAAGTGGCTTGTAGCGCGGCCACACCCTCCTCTTCCATGTTGTTCCCTTGACAGAATCTAGTGAGACTTACGGAGGGGAACCGTGGCTTGCTCGCCGACAGCCTGTCCAAGGAGCAAATCTTAACCCGCGCAAGGCGCCGTGGTTGCTGGTGACACAAACGGCCAGCGGAGGTCTCCAACGTCCACACTTGCAAGCGAGGAAACTTGGTGAGCTGGAAATGTCCCCATGATTGCGAAGAGCCAGGAGCGGTGGGCCGGAATGACACGGCGCGCCCGGACTCGGTGCCCTGCCCGCCCGGTGCTACGGGGCCCGGCAACTTGGCAGTAACTAGAAAGCCTCAACCCCAACTCCTTTCAGGATTCTCTTGAAGTACAGTGTTCATATCTTCGAGGGTGTCTGATTTGCGCAACGAACACGCTGAACCTTGAGTTCAGCCCGAACCTTCTTTATTTGCAGCAGAAGCAGAGTCAGCAGAGACAGAAGTGGAAAACGAGGGCTCCCCGTGGTGAGCTCACACCACCCCAGATGACTTCTCTCTTGGGCGGGTGGCTGAGTTGTCAGGAACAAAGTGGGCAGCCCTTGCTCCACCGCGTGTGAAGCGCTGCAATGTCTAGGCGGACAATTGGCCGGCCAAGAGCAGGCTTTACCCCACACAGGATCCTGCTACCGGAACTACAGAAAGCAGTTCTGTGAGAGGGCGCAGGTGGGACCTTCCAGGCCAGTTGGCTGGATCACCGCCCCTTCTGGCCCAGTCCTTGAACCTCGATTGCTGAAGTTGTCTTTCAAGTTTCTCGTTGTTGGTTAGCATTTTCACGCATCGCGTATTTGGATTCATTGAATTAAAATTCGTGGACTCTGGAGTATGTCAACTACCTATTCCACTAGGGGCCGGCAGGAAAACTGACCCTTCCGTTGGATGGGTTCGTTGCACTGCCTGTTGTGACACTTATTCGGGCATAGTAGGCGTTTAGCTTTATCAACGGCGCTCGGGCGCTTCACTTGTTTGCGCGGGATGGCGTAAGTATCCAGGCCGTGACTTTCCGTTTTTTTGTGCTTTCTTGGGCGGTTGTTCTGTTTTGGATTGTTCCAGTGCTCTACAGCGTTGGATTTGGGCAGGTTTTGGGCTGGTTGTGTTTATGGTTGGTTGAGGGTTGGTTTGGAGCACAGCAGTAAAGGTACAAGAGGAGCCTTGTCCTGGAATCAATCCTTACCCTTTGCAGGACAACGAGAAAGGGTAACTACCTTCCCAGAGAAGAGCTAAGTTGTACGAAGACTTCTTACGCGACTCCTGGCCCTGGTTGCGGTTCTCATGTGCAAAATGTGTGAATTGCAAGTTTCTAAGTTCCGGTTTTTAAGAACTAGAGCGCAAGAGGAACTGAGCCGACGCGCTGGCTTGTTCAACTCTCAGCTGCCTTCAGCCCCCCCAGCGGCTCCGACCAGAACGGGTTCCCGGTGGAGCTGGGCGGCTTTTGCCCCGTGATGCTTGTGGAGAAGGGCCAGTTGCAGAAGGCCCGGCGTTCGGTGTGTCTGGTTGTTTTTTGCTGGACAATGCTTCTTTGCTGGGGTCTACCCATAATTGCTGTCGAGTCGATTCGAAGTGTTGTTCAGATGTGCCGACTAGTGCTGAGAAGTGTCGATCACGCACTAGCGTAGTGGCTCAAGACAGTGTCCCTTCAACTCCGCGCTGTTGCTTGGAGTCAGGCAAAGCAATCCCTCCAAACCCTTTGAAGAAGCGAAGCAGGCACATTTTAAGGCACTTGCCTGCTTTTGTAGGTCTGTCCAAGCAAGCAAGCAAGCAAGCGTTACAGCGAGCAGGTGGGCAGGCAGGCGAGCGAGAAAGAAAGCATGCCGTACACCCCCTTAGTCTCACCCTATTGCACCAGGCAGCCGAAGCCTTCTCCCTAAACTCACAACCCGACACCAGCCTTGAAACAGTCCCGAACCAATCAGGTTGTTTGGGGCCAGAAAGATTTTTGCCGCGCAGCCTTGGATTTCTTCTTGAGAGTTGCACGCAGCAGGGCTGACCAAGAAACTGAAAGGTTGCGCACTCGTAGTTTCGTGCCTGTGGTTTAGAATTTGGGGACGCTCAATCCAAATTGGAAGATATCCTGAGACCCCCAACCGCTTTTTGCGCCAGAGATCGGCGCGTTGCCGCGCTAGCTCCTGTTTTGCAATTTGCAAGGGCTCCCGCTACTTCATGGTGGAGTACAACTCGTGCCTATACCGCCTTACCAGCCGGGAGGCGGGTGGGGCCTCTAGTCTAGAGGTGTGTCGTCGCGAGCCGTTCTTAGACATCGCGCGTTTCGGAAGTGTCTCCGGGCCTGTCGAGTTTGGGGGGCGGGGCGGGGGCGTGTGGGGCACGAGGCGTGTGCCAAGTTCCTGCGCCGACCGCTGCGCTTCTCGCGAGCAAAGCTGCCCCAGAAGCTTCCTCCGGAGGCTCAGCAAGCAAGTGGTTTTTCCTGAGGCTGAGACACGTAGAGATATTCTGTGACATGTTTGAGATGCCCAAGTGCAGTGACAAACAGGTCTGCAAAATGGTCAGTGCTTCCTCCTCTGCTCGTGTCTTGCTCTTTGGCTGCCGCTTGTGGAATTTGAGACACAATTAACTGCTGGGCGGCTCTCCCATTGAAACGCGCAGGTCTCAACGGAGGAGAGGCAGGCAGCCAGACCCTCGCAGGGCGGTCTGAAGCACCTGGAGCATTTCATTTGTGGCACAAACGCCCACCCCCCACCCACCCACCCACCCGCCCGCCCGCCCACCCGCCCACCCACCCACTCACCCACCCACACACACACACACCACACACATGCACACCCACACCCACACGCACACCCTCACATGCACACGCGCACAAGCACAAGCACGCACGCACGCACGCACACACACACAAACACACACTTGTGTAGCCCCCCCTCTGTTTGATACTCATTTGCTGCTACTCGCTTCAGGCTTGCGCCTTGTTCAGTTTGATTACCAGAAGATAAGGATAAAGCTAGCAATCCAAACTGTCTGCCAAGTACGTCAATGGAGTGGGCATGAAAATGCATCCTTGCAATGGCAAGGCTACAGGATTTATTGGTCACTTGCTCTTAGTCATAGGGTTGGACACACACACGCAACGTGCATCAGAGCCTTCCAAGAATGCAAAGATCGGACAAAAGAAACGGTGTAAATGCTTGCAACCGTGCAAGCTTCGTGTTCGGGCGGCCTCCTCAAATCCTTTCGCGCGGGCAGCGTATCGCTGAGCTCAAGCTCACCGGGGTTCCTTGGTCACTTGCCCTTAGTCACAGGGTTGGACACGCACAGAAAGCCAAGCAGGCAAGATTACGGGGAACCCAGAGCTCAGCAAATGCTGCAAACACTTCAACTGCAACTGGTGAATTCAAAAGTGTCAAAGCTGACGGGTGGTGCTCTCTAATTGGAAATTGGGCGTTTCCCGCACGCCCCATTTGAATTAATTATGTTCCGGTTGAGCCTTCGAACCTGGCTGCCTGGGTTGAGAGCTCTTGTGTGGAGGCTCTTCAACTTTTTTTGGCTGGTTGTTTCTCTGCGGGCCTGCCAATGCAAGGCCTCAATGGGAACAGCGAAAACTCTTGGGCTACCAACAACCCCACACATGCCTACCTGCCTCGGGCTACCAACAAGCCCACACGTGCCTTGACGAAGACAAGGGGCCTGGTGAGTTCCATGTTGGGTGGGTGAGATATTCACCAGCATTGAGGAATCCCAAAAGTGACCTTCACCATGGGGCCCCAGCTCATTTACCACGTGACACCGCAGTAACTAGCGGGTGGTTGGCCCCGACAGCCCTAAGTTTCTCAACACCCCAGATTAACATGGGGCCCAATAAACAGTCATTAGTAAACAAGTTCAACTTGTCCAAACAAGGGCTGCCGACAACCAAGAACCCCCCTCCCGCCCCGCAGCGCTTATTGCCCCTATTACCCCACCCCACACCAAGACCCCCACCCCCCGCGATACACGATCGCGTACAAAGACACACACACACACACACGCATACATACACAGACACACGCACGCACGCACGCACCCGCACCCGCACCCGCACACGCGCGCTCGCACGCGCAGGCACCCGCGCCCGCACCCGCGCACGCACACGCACACTGCTTGCACTCCCACACACACACACGTTCCAACTGTCATTGTCACCACTTGCGACGGGGTGGAAGAAGGGGGCTCGCGCTGACGCTAGCTCTCGGATGTTCTTTCTGTGGTCCTTTTGTTACGACGTTCCAACTGTCCGAAGTCCAAATGTCTAACTTTGTTTGGGAGATGTCCGATGTTCCAACTGTGCGTTTGTCGCTATAGCTAATGATTTTCATACAATATGTTGGCAGTGTTCAGCGCAGTGTTCAACGCAGCGAGTGTTCAATGTGACGTTCCCTGAGCGTTAAATTTCATGTGCAACGAGCGTTCAATGTAGTGTGCAATGTACTCCGCTCAGCAACGCCTTGCGGGCGAGGGTTGTTGACATACACAAGCGCCGCAGTGGCTTTATTGGCACGCGTTTGGCGAGCGCCTCTGCGTTGAACACTCCATGGAAGCTCAATGAGGGGCGCAAGACAAGGGAACCCCTGATCAAAGAATCCGCCAGGTTCAAGGCGCCTGTCCCACACGTACTGTTGAGCAGCATGGAAAGAGGTTAGCGGGGCACGCGGCCTGACTGACAAAACGGAGTTGGGAAAGGCGGCGCTGCACACATGACTTTGCCTTTGCCTCGCGGTAAACACACATCTAAGCTGTGTCCATTTCTTTGAAGAGTGAGCCGATTTGTAGACAATGTCATTTCACACTGGATCCTGGCGTCCACTGCAGCACTCAATGTGCTTTGCAGCCGACAAACCGCTGCCTCCTTCACCCTGCAAAACCGGGCAACTCTCTCCCATTTGTTCCATGTTCACTGGGAACAGCAACGCGCCACACACCTAGGCCAAGGTCCAAAGTCTTGCTTGCTTACTTGCTTGCCTCGGTCACAGGCGAGCGATCCTCCATAATTACCGCGTGTTGCCATCAAGGTTTCTTGCGATCAAGCGAGCCGTGGAGTCTGACCCTGGCGCCCTTGTGCGCATGCGCGCAGGTTATGAACAGACATTGCCTGCGGCGGATTTGTTGGCCTTTGTTCGCCTAATTTGGCCTATGTTTGCCTATGTTTGCCCTCGGCCGCGCCTGCTCCTTGCTCACTCAGTCCCATCTGCTGAGCGCCTTGGTGAAGGGCAAGGACGGGCTGGTTCCTGTCTGTCACATCCTGGGAAGGGCTCGCCAAAATGGGGAAAGCCTGCTTTCAAGCATGTGGCATGTGTCGTTCTTGGTTCGCTTTTCGGCTCTAACCATGTTTGGCGCAAGCCTGCGAAGAGTAGCAACTTAGTTGACATTTCCGGGTAAAGGTGTCAGGACAGACGCTTGTTCGAGAAATGGGAAATTGTGTGTGGGAGGCTTGCCGCGTGCAATGTTGCAATGTGGCCTGATCCCAAACCTCGTTTTCCAGGTTGTGCCAACGAGGTTTGGGATCAGTCGCAAGACCTTTGCAGAAACGCGGGACTGATCGCCTGAAGTCACAAGCACTCCGAATTGGTCTGCCGGTTTCGCTCTCCGGGCACGGCCAAGAACGTCGCCCTTCCAATCAGAGAGCCTCCAAGCGCAAGGACGGAAGAGGGCTGCAGCCTTCAGACATGGTCACCTATATGCAGGCGCGGCGCGGCGGTCACCTATAGCAAGGTCTCGTACTGCTGTACTAAACATAGTTGTTGCAAATCCCATCGGGCTCGATACTGGAATATCGAAGCCGAAACTAAGTTTTGCGATTTCTCTCCTCCAGTTGGATTGCAGGGCCCTTTGCCCTCAGTCAGCAAGCGCTATGTTTGAAAGTGCAACAGGTTGCGGTTCCCTTAGCAAGTGATGGCGGTAGTTTAGTTGGCTGCCAGGTTGATTGGTTGGTGGCTTGGCTGATTGGTCGGGCCAGTCGATCCGCCCCGCCTGGTTGGCGGAAGTTTCCAGAGCATAAGTGCATAAGAACTATAGTTATGTTCCCTTTCTGTTGTTGTTTCTCTCCCTCTCTCCCTGTCGCTAAAGTCAATCGAACAGATACTACAAGCGAGTGATGTAGTCGTTGTCTCAGCTTGTTTGTTCCTGGGCAACAGTGCTGTAGCGCAGGATCGGTTCAAGGCCTGAATTAAGCCTGAAAGGGAAAACGGTGATATGTTCACGCAGTGACGATAAGCCTGTACATGCAGTAACTCAATGCTCATGTAGTCCAATGTAGTTTGACACGCCCCTTCAGATTCAGTTTGATGGTTTGTAGTGATACCACCAAAGTGAGAATTGCAAAACGGGGCTTGCTCAACAGTGGTGATGCAAACTGACACAGTTTTCTAGCTGTACTACTGGTAGAATGTAGCGAAAGGCCGAAGATTGGAGCGAGCTCATCAGATCTTCAGTTTGGCCTGTCGTGCAAAAATGGCTTCTACTGATGTAGTCAGAGGTGCCTCTCCCAGTTGGTTTGTAGTTGAGCAGTTGGGAGATGCGGTGTTCCAAGGTGTTCGTGTAGCGGTTTGCGAAGTAGTGATTGCTGATGAGCCACATAGTCGGTCGTGGACAGCTCGGTGTTTGTCAGTAATGAGTGCCCATAGTACTGGCTGCTCTTGAGGAGTAGTACCTCAAGAGTATGCTTTTGTGGCGGTGGTACTTCTTGATTAATGTTTCCAAGCTCAAGTAGTGAAAAAAGGTAGAGTACCATGCGGAAATCCCAGAAGTAGTTATTCTCCCAATTCAAACTGAGCAGTGAGTTGTTCAAAGTTGTAGTTTATGTTGTAGATGGTATGGATTGGTTGCAGTTGCAAGTAGTGCGGGCTCACGAAGGACAAACATATGCGAGGCGAAATCCCTCGTGAACTGCGCCATAGAGGTCCAGCAGTAGTCCGGAGTCAAAGTGAACTTTGACAATGATGAAGTCGTCAACGGTCCTTATTGTAGTGTGGAGCTCCGTGGTGCGATAGAGGTAAAAGCTGCAGGCCTCTTCCTGTTGAAGACCATGTCTGTCGCAAAACGTCCTTTTCCAATCTCCTGGAATTTGTCTCACCGGCATGCATGTAGCTCGGCCTGAAATTCTTCCACGGTCTGTCATTTCTTCCACAGGTGCTGTAGTGGAAGTACCAGCAATGGTCATGTAGCCCATGACACACTCCGGTTGGGTAAACATGCGTAGTTTTCTTGAAGCGGGTGGTTGGAGTTGTAGTTGCACACAACTTCTGGACCCTGAGTAGTCCCCATCTCCATGGAGCCACTTGCAGTGCCATCGACAGCCATTGATGTAGTTAGGTGCAAGTTATTTTAGTGAAGCGGGGCTGGCAGTGAATTAAAAGAGTTGAATGGGTTCCCAAGGCTGCCATGAAAAGTAGTTTTGCTTCATTGGCTAGACAGGGGGAAGGTAAACAGCAGCTCTATGTTGTCTCGCCGCCGAACATGCCGCCAAAGTTGCGTGTGAAATTACTGTAGTTGTCTTACATGTAGTTAGATACAAAAAAGAGATCCGCAGGCGTGTGAGGAGTGATCAGCTGCCTGTCGCGATTGTGGTGTTTGAAACTTGTCGGGTGTCATGCGTGACGTTGCTGTGAAACAGTTGTTGTGAAGCGGTTGGTCGTGCAAGATGCGTACGCCGAGGCTTTGGATGAGCCGCTGTAGCGAAACTTTGCTGATGTGTTTGGACAAATCTGTGCTGTGAAGTGTGATGATCTTGTGGATGCGCATGTTGTTTGAGGTCCTGTGTGTAGAGAAATTTGATGTCGGTGTGCCTTGCTCGTTTGCTTGTGCCTTGTCGTGTAGCAATGCGTTTGACTGCTGTGGAGTCGGTGTGGATGCGTAGGCTGAGCTTGCTGCAAAAGGTTGTTTCCAGTAGGAAGTTTCTGAGGTGTAGTCTCTCACTAACTCCTGTGCAAATTGCGTAGTGCAAATTGCGTATAGCTCAGGTTCTGCTGAACTAAGTGCTATTGTTGCCCGTGTTTTGCTGCCAAGTGCAACTGTTGTTCCAAGGAAGTGGATGTTGAAGCCTGAAGTTGACTTCCTGGTAGTAATCCTGCCCAATCCGCATCGACGCAGACGTCGAGGTCCAGGATGTTGTTTGTGTTTGCTTGAAGTGTTGTTGGGGGTGCTATGGTGAATTTGTAATGTTCGGTGCCGTGACGGCAACGTAGTAAGTGCTTCACTCTCTTTCGTGAAAGTTCTGTAAGTACTATGAGGTCTCGTGCTAGTTCTTTTGTTGCATAGGTGACGTCGGGCCGCATGTAGGATTGTAGTTTACCGACAATTCTCCTGCGCCTCTTGTGTTGTTCGAGATCAAGGAGTGCTTCGTCCTCTAAAGTTGGCTTGTAGTGCGCAATTCCTGGAGCTGCTTCTGCATTGCAGTTGTTCATTCAAGTTTTTTTATGATGTCGTCGATGTAGAAGTGTGGAAGTCCAATAGTGCAGTGGTGGCCGACGTGTTCTATGTTTCTTCCAAGAAATTGCTGTGGTTTGCCAGGCTCGAGGTAGCCAATGTGCTTGAGTAGAACTTGCTTTTGGATTGCCTCAAAGGTGGAGTCGACAGTAGTTTTGTCGCCAAGTGCCAGCAGGTCGCCCACGTAGACCATGATGTAGCAGTTCCGGGACCGCGTTGGTGTGGACGTTCAGTTCTGACTTGAGTCTTACAACGCCGAGTTCTTGTAGCACCTCAGCTAGGTAGTCTTGCCCAGCCTTGGGTGAACTTTTTGGTCCGCACCTGGCTTTCTTTGGGCGCCATAGTTTGTTTGTTGTGAACCAAGGTCTCTTAGTGGCAAAAATGTCTAGACGTCACGTTGTTTGCCGTCGTTGTCCTTTGCAATGGGCGGGTGTACAAACGCTGCAGAGACGTCACCAAGTCTTGCAACCCAGTTTGGTCGTGACAGCTGAAGCGCTAGAGGCGTCCGGTGTTGTGAACATTGGTGTGGAGGCATAGGACTCCTCGTCCTCGATCTTCTCGGTGTAGCCTTTTGCTACGATTCTACTTCGTACGTCGGTTATTTTCTTTCGGTGGGCCCATCTTGTAGTTGTCGTTGAGTGTTGACGTACCTTGTCGCAGACGTCCTGTAGTTTCATTTGGTCCGACTCACGTTGTCATTCCTTCTTCCATTTCTCGATTTGCGCAACTTGTGAGAGCAAGGCGCGGAGCCTGTAAGATCTCACTTGGGTTTCTCTTTTCCCGCTTTGCGCTACTTGTTGTACACTGGGGAGAGCAAGGCGCGGAGTCCGTAAGATCTCACTTGTTTTTTGTTTTCTCGCTTTGAGCTACTTGTGTTACACAGGGGGGAGCAAGGCGCGGAGTCCGTAAGATCTCACTTGTTTTGTTTTTTCTCGCTTTGATCTACTTGTCTTACACTGGGGGCAGCAAGGCGCGGAGTCTGTAAGATCTCACTTGTTTTTGCTTTTCTCGGTTTGCTCTGCTTGTGTTACCCTGGGGGGAGCAAGGCGGAGTCCGTAAGATCTCACTTGACTTTTTCTCGCTTTGAGCTGCTTGTGTTGCATTGGGGGGAGCAAGGCGCGGATTCCGCAAGATCTCACTTGGCTTTTTCTTTTCTCGCTTTGCTTGTGTTACACCGGGGAGAGCAAGGAACGGAGTGCTTGGCTTTGGCACTTCTTGCTTAGCAGCTTTGAGCCTGCGGAGTCCGTAAGATCTTACTTGGCTTTTGTTTTGCTCGCTTTGAGCTACTTGTGCTACACTGAGGAGAGCAACGCGCGGAGTCCGTAAGATCTCAGTTTTTTCTTTTCTCTCTCTGAGCTAACTGGGGACAGCCAGGCGCGGAGTGAGTAAGATCTTGCTCGGCCTTTTCTTTTCTCGCTTGGAGCTACTTGTTAAATTGGGGGGAGCAAGGCGCGGAGTCCGTAAGATCTCACTTGGATTTTTCTTGCTTTGAGCTGCTTTTGCTACACTGGGTGTGTTACACTGGGGGGAGCAAGGCGCGGAGTCCGTAAGATCTCACTTGTTGTTTCCTTTTCTCGGTTTGAACTACTTGTGTTACACTGGGGTGAGCAAGCGCGCAGTCTGAAAGATCTCACTTGTTTTTTCTTTTCTCGCTTTGTGCTACTTGTGTTACACTGGGGAGAGCAACGCGCGGAGGCCGTAAGATCTCACTTGGCTTTTTCTCTCGCTTTGCTCTGTTTGTGTTACCCTGGGGGGAGCAAGGCGGACTCCGTAAGATCTCACTTGTTTTTTCTTTTCTCGCTTCGAGCTACTTGTGTGACACTGGGGGGAGCAAGGCGCAGAGTCCGTAAGATCTCGCCTGGTTTTTCTTTTCTCGCTTTGAGCTACTTGTATTTAACCTGTGGTACACCGGGGAGAGCAACGCGCGGAGTCCGTAAGATCTCACTTGTTTTTTCTTTTCTCGCTTTGAGCTTCCTGTGTTACACTGGGGAGAGCAACGCGCGGAGGCAGTAAGATCTCACTTGGTGTTTTCTTTTCTCGTTTTGAGCTACGTGTGTTACACTGGGGGGAGCAAGGCGCGGAGTCCGTAAGATCTCACTTGGTTTTCCTTTTGAAGCTTTGAGCTCCTTGCGCTACACTGTGGAAAGCAACGCGCGGAGTCTGTAAGATCTCGCGTGGCTTTGCCTTTTCCTGGTCTCGTTTTGAGCTACTTGTGCTACACTGGCGACAGCAAGGCGCAGAGTCCGTAAGATCTCACTTGGCTTTTTCTTTTCCCGTTTTGAGC